GATCAAGAAAAAAAATATGAAGTATTGGGGTTGGAAGAGACAAAATAACCATTATTTGCAGTTAATACAATAGCTTGCATAGAAAACTTAAGAGAACCTGCAAGCTATTCAAACAAATAAGACAGGGCAGCAGGACTGCTGGATTCAAAAACAACTTTAAAAATTCAGCAGCATTCCTACTATGGTGGCAACAATTAGAAAATTTAATTAAAAAAAAATTCACAACAGCAAAAAAACATAAAGGTACCTAAAAATAAATATGGCAAAAGGTATGTATGAGCTTTTTAAAGAATACTGAAAAACATAAGAAACATGAATAAACAATAAAACATATATACCATATTCCTGGATAGGAAAATTCAATTCATAAAGATATCAAATTTTTTTTAATATTTATTTATTTAGGCTGAGCCGTGTCTTCGTTGCAGCATGCAGGATCTTCGTTGCGGCATGTAGGATCTTTAGTTGCTGCATGCATGCGGGATCTAGTTCCCTGACCAGGGATCGAACTCAGGCACCCTGCATTGGGAGTGTGGAGTCTTACCCACTGGACCACCATGGAAGCCCCAAGATATCAAGTTTTTCCCAAATTAATCTACAAATTCAATGTATCTCTAATCAAAATCCCATCATAATTTTTCACTGACCCTAAACTGATTCTAAAATTTATGATAAAGAGTGAGGGCCTAAGAATAGCCAAAGCTACTCTGAGAAAGAAAAAGGAGAAGGAACCAGACCTACCGGATATAAAGAGACATGCCAAAGTAATAGTATTTAATACAGTATGAATTTGCAACAGAAAAACACCATAAATATTCCCAACCATACACAGTGCCTCAATATGATTGAAGAGGCACCCTCCAATGAGTGGTGCTGGGGCAACTGGCCTTCCATTTGGAAAACAATTAAATTAATTCTCTCTCCCACACCATAAAAAAAAAAACTTTTTTTCTTAGAAGAAAATACAGACAGTCTTTATGACTTTAGACTATAAATGCATTTTTTAATAGAAACAAATTATTAAAAGGTAAGACTGAAAAACTGAACTACATGAAACTTTTAAACTTCTGGGATTAAAAAATAATTTTAAAGACATCTTAAAATAGGAGAAGAGGGACTTCCCGGGTGGCGCAGTTGTTAAGAATCCGCCTGCCAATGCAGGGGACAGGGGTTTGAGCCCTGGTCCAGGAAGATCCCACATGCCGCGGAGCAGCCAAGCCCGGGCGTCTCAACTACTGAGCCAGCGTTCTACAGCCCAGAGACACAACTACCGAGCCCACGTGCCACAACTACTGAAGCCTGCACACCTAGAGCCTGTGCTCTGCAACGAGAAGCCACCACAATGAGAAGCCCGCACACCGCAACAAAGAATAGCCCCCGCTCACTGCAACTAGAGAAAGCCCACGCGCAGCAACGATGACCCAAGACAGCCAAAAATAAATTATTAATTAATTATAAATAAATAAAATAGAAGAGGATATTTACAAGACATTAGTATTCAAAGTATACACAGAGTTTCTGTAACTCCATAAAAAAGACAAAAAAATGCAACAGAAAAATGGGCAAATACACAGACAATGAAAGGTGCTCAACCTTCCTAGTAATCAGAGAAATGCAGACTTATAAAATAAGACATCATTTTACATTCATTAGACTGGCAAAAATTTAAGTCAAATAAGATCAACTGTCGTCAAGGATGTGCAGAATCAGAAACTCCCATCCACTGCTGATGGGCATTTACATCAGTCCAGGCGCTTGGAAAAGCCGTTTGGCAATACCTGACAAGGCTGAAGAGGTGCATACCTGAGTGTTGAAACAACCCCATTTCTCTTATTTTCTCTTGGGAAACTAGCACATGTGGCTAAGAAGATACTTACTGTATCATTTTGTACAGCAGAGAAAAAAACTGGAAAATGCCCAAACGTAGATTCACGTATTAGATTTTTGATCTAGATCTGTATATAGCAACACTGATACATCTTAAAAACAAAATATTGAGGAGTTTTTTAAAAATGCAGAAAGTTATTTACAGTGTAATTATCATTTATGAAACGTTTAAATTCACAAAATACTACACACTGTCACCGTATCCTGCATCTGTAACATAAGGGTGAGGCGTGGACTGAATACAGCTAATGTCCAGCAAAGGAGGGAGAGCGGGGAAGGACTGCAGGAGAGGAAAGGGGGCCGGCACCCACTCGCTGTGCGCCTGTGCCACGCACTTGCAAGATGCAACTGTGTTAACATTCGTTCACTCTGGGTGGTAGGTAAATGCGTCTTTGTTTTATTATCTTTCTTTCTTTCTTTCTTTTGTTTTCCAAAATAAAGATTTAAAAGACATTCAGAAACAAAAGCATCTCTGGGCTCAATCCCTGTCTCCAGTCTAGACCTTTCCCCAGAGCATCAAACCTTTTACCCAGTTGCCTACGGGACATTTACACCTGAACTCTTCAAACATCAACTGTCTAAAATGTACTTACTTTCTCCTGACCCCTCCCACATCCTCTTTCTGTGGATGTGATCACCACACATACACTCCTCTGCCTGAAACTTTTCAATGACTCTCAACTTTCTCCAACAACTTAAAGGAAAAACAAAAATAGGTAGAGAAAACCTTTCTTCAAACAATCAAGCAAATTCTGCACAGAAGCTCAAATAAATAAGATACAGGCAAGGCTGCCCTGGTGGACCAGGACAGGGCCCGGCGACTCTCTAGTCTGGGACAAGGCCCCTGAGGGAGGCTGGGAAACGATGCAAAGGTTCCCCGTTTGCAAAATAAAATGACAATTCCTTAAGACACAAGTGCTGGTGCTTCTCCACGTTCCCAGCCCGCTCTCCCACCACCCTCTGCCTGGGGGGTGCCTCCCCTCTGTGCCCACCAGAACCAGAAAGGCCCTGTCCCGGCACTCTCCACACAGCCACACACGTACAGACAAGCTCCCTTCTCTCTTTGGAAGCCACTTTGCGTCTTGAACTTCACCTTGTGAACAGAGCCTCTGTAACGACAAACAGGGTTCGGTTGCCAGGACTGAGAGCGCAGCAGGCCTGCTGCCCAAGGTACCCGAGGCCCTCTGCCCACCTGTCCCAACGCACTCCCTTCTGTCCCCCACGGCTTCTCTAACTCTTGCAACAAATTCAGCCAAGGGTATAACTCTTCCTTTACTCCTGCCTCCTTGACCTTTTTCTTTCTAGCTTCCACCACTGCTGTTCTCAGCACCAATGTGAGAGCTGCCGCGCCTGCTGACAGTGAATGGAATCCTGCTAATAGCTGACTTCAATCCCCTCTCTGTTAATGATGACAGGTGAAGTGGTGCAGCCAGCTGAATGCTGCCGACAACTGTATTAAAGCAAGAGATGCAAGTTAATCCTCTCAGAGCTGCTGCACTTCACAAGGTTAAAACTAATCTGCTTTGAAAAATCAGAAAGTCCAATTCCAATTTACAAATTCAGCATGGAATGATCCAGTTCCCTGGCATTCACAATATAAAATCCACAGAAGACTGATCTATCCTACAGAATGCCAATTGTTATGGACTGAACTGTGTCCCCTCAAAATTCTTATGTTGAAGCCCTAACCCCCAATGTGACTGTATTTGGAGATGGGACCTCTCAGGTTAAATGAGGTCATAAGGGTAGAGCCTCAGTTCCACAGGACTGGTGTCCTTATAAGAAGAGGAAGAGATACCAGAGGTCTCTCTCTCAGCCATGCACACACACAAGAAAAGGCCATGTGAGGACACAGTGAGAAGGCACCATCCACAAGCCAAGGAGAGAGGCCTCACCAGAAACCAACCCTGACGGCACCTTGATCTTGGACTTCAAGCTTCTATTCTGTGATAAAATTAATGTCTGTTGGTTAAGACATCCAGTCTACGGTATTTTGTTATGGCAGCCCTACCAGACTAATACAACAAACCATGAATTTAAAATGAGGACCAGCAGACCAAGCGTGCCTATTGTCAAGGACACCCCATCATAGTAACCAAGTATTTAGACCTAGAAAATCAAGTTCATGATCAGTTATCCAGCAAGCAAGGACCTGGAATGACGTGAGTTAAATGTTCTCAAGGAATGAGGGCGCACTTTCTAGCAATCTGAATACCCGTATCCACCAGAAAGGCTTTGGTCTCCCTTGACCAAATACTAAGAACTCAGCTCCTTCCCTAACGCTCTGAGAGGCTGCTCACACTCTACCGGGGTCAAAGAGCCTGTTGCTCAGAAGTCCCTGCGCCCACGACAGCTTACAGTTTCTAAGATCGTGACTTATCTTACAAGGGCTACATTTAGGAGGCAGAACTTCACTCCACTCTTGACTGACATACCTGCCTCTTTGGTAAACGGTCTCCAAAAAATAACCCAGAAGTTAAACAGTTTCAGAGAAGAATTCTACCCTGTGGACAACCAACCTGACCTTGGGGTCTCCTGTGAATAAAGAGTGGGCAAGATGCACTCTGGCCAAAATGTAGACGTTTCTTCCCTTATTATGCTCTACTGACTAACATTTAAACAAAAACAGAACACTTCAGAACATAATTAAACAGGCCTCTCCTTTCAAAAAAATATATATATATCTTTCAATAAAGTAAACAGTGTAATACAATAGATAGTCCACCAAAGTGCTAAGTTAATAAAACTGTACTTACTTAAAATTACAAATTAACCTTAAGGAACCACATATACGTCTTTTAAGTAGCTGAGACATGTACGACTGAATGAAGGCCTCTGCCAACCACCCAAGCTGAAACTCCAACGACTGTGACAAAGGACTGTATCAGAAGAGAAGCAAAGGACTAGAAAGTTGGGAGGGTTTAGGTGACTGCTACGGCCGATAGCAATACTCAGCAGCCAGATGCCAACATAAATAACTCCCCGGTAACCAGAACAATCATCTAAAAGAAGATGGCAAGTAAATTCATATACCTTGAAAAACAGAATTAGAATGTTTAGAACAATTATAAGAAACACAATCCTTTATAAACCGAGGGTGGAGCTTTACTTACATGAAGGAATAATGAACTGTGGCTCAGTGTTGCCTGCGTAGCCAAGCTTGGTATACCTAAAAGCACAAAGTCATCAACACATGTTTAGATAATAATACTCTCCTCTATATCCCAATAATGTCTTTTATTATAAGCTCTCCAAGTCCTAAAATATCAAGACTGAAAATATGCCCATGAAATTAAAGGAAAAAAAAAAAACCTCGTGATGACTAAGAATCAAACGCTAATTTCAGATAAGCAAGCAGTTACAAAAACATAAAATATTATGCCTGTTTCTACTTGTAAAATTCATGTATTAACACATGAATTACATTTGTGTATCCCTAATAATTTTAAGGTGCTTTTATATTCTTTTAATCTTTACAAAAATCCTACAAAGGAAGTAAATATTATCCCTGTTTTGCAGATGAGAAAACCAAGGCACTAAGAAGTTAATTAAGCTGCCCAGAGCCAAACAGCTAGTGAACAGAAAAAGAACCCAAATCTAAATATGCAGGCTCTAATTCCAGAGCTGCCTCTCAAAAAAATGTACTTACTTCCCAAACTTCATGAACTTTTGGGGGGGTTAGGGAATTCCATAATTTTTCTTAAAGTGTCATGGCACATGTCTAGAAAAGCTACTGCCAGGTACTGAGAGTATCCGACAGAAGCAGCTCTCTATCATCTCATTTCAGAACGAGCCCATCTTCTGTCAAGATACTCTTTATGATGGATTCCAAAAGTCTTAACTAAAATGAATGCCAAAATACTACCATCTGTTCCAAAAGCATTTGCTTACCTCCTAAATTTAAATTAAAAAAAAAAAAGTGGGGTGGGGACCACCCCCCGGAACCATCTGCTGGAAATGTGACCCTGGAAAGATTCCTGAGTGCCCCCCTTCTCAGCAGGCCCTCTGTACCAAGCAGTCAGGTAGAAACAAGGAGCCATCATTCTGCAGCAATGCTCCCAAGGAATAAAAACACTTCCTAGTAGTGCTGAAAGCAACTTTATTAATTCATGCTATTTTACAAATTATTTCAATATGCTTGATACTAAATTTTTTGATGTGATTAATACATTCGAAGTTCTAATAAATTAATTTTATGATTTTTAAATGTATTTTAACCGTATGCTAATTTTACTATTTTTGAACACACATTAAATAAATAAGGTTTAGGGAGACAAAAAAAGCAAGTCGGGTCCACTTAAATCATGCCTTACTGCTCAGTCTCCAAGGAACTAACGTCTTGGTGTCACATGAGTTTGGGCAAGGCCAGGCCCTGAGACCCATCAGGCCCAACAAGGAGTTTATAAAAGGCAAGACCCATCTGAGGGCACTCCCAAGTTCTACCGAAGTACACAAACCAAGTGGACCCACGAGTCCTCAACTCCAGGGCTCGCCAGACCCAAAAGCAGAGTTGAAGCCAAGCCAGAGCCCAGGGGAGGCAATATATACTGAACTTTAAGAATTCCAGATCATCTTCAACTGAACCATTTTCCTGGAAATAAATTCCAAATAACAAATATAAACGAAGTGAATGACTGACCCAAGGCTAAAGAAGTCCAGAGAAGCTAACAAGCAGGCCAGAAATCACTAGAATCACTGCACTGCACCTAAGTCTGTGCTTTTAACAGGGGCCACTTCGCTCACCAGCCACACCACCCACCTCGTACTTGAAGAAGCCCACCCTCCCACACTGTTAGATTATGAATTGCAGGATGACCAGAACAGGGTCCTTCTTTTTTTTTTTTTTTTTTTGTGGTACGCGGGCCTCTCACTGTTGCGGCCTCTCCCGTTGCGGAGCACAGGCTCCGGACGCGCAGGCCCAGCGGCCATGGCTCACGGGCCCAGCCGCTCCACGGCACGTGGGATCTTCCCGGAGCGGGGCACGAACCCGTGTCCCCTGCATCGGCAGGCGGACTCCCAACCACTGTGCCACCAGGGAAGCCCCAGGGTCCTCCTTCTTAATTTTATCTCCACCCTGGCACAGTCCTGGCTGTGGCAGACACTCCATAAGTATCTGCTGAATGAGTTCTTACCAGGTGTAAGAAAAGGCAATCACTGGCAAACTGCTGGGGAAGGAACCAGTGTTTGAAAGGGGGGGGTGCTGACAGTCAGAAAAACAATTTGATGGGACAAGAAAAGACCAAAGACAATTGTCTAATACAACCTCTCACACTTGGTTTTGTCTAATAGGGTTATTTCAAAAAAAATAAAAAATACCTGAAACAAATATTAATACCACTGACCCTGTGAACAACACATGTTTGAACTGCACAGGCCCACTTATGTGTGGATTTCTTTTCAACAAATATACCAAAATATATGTGGAGAAGACCGTGTGCAAGACTTACACTGAACTGGATATAGCCTACCCTTACACAGGCGCAAGGTTAAGTGATACATAATATAAAATTAATAAATGAATCAACTATATACTTCAATAAAAAAATAAAATGAAAAAAATAAAATAAAATTAATAAAATTAATAATGTGTTCATCTTCTTACTTTGCTTTCAAAGAGTTACATTACAGTATGCCTCCCTCTCTCTCTCTCTCTCTCTCCAGTACTTGGAGAACCTGCAGATCAGTCTATCATCACAGGTAAGTGGTGGTGTGTAAAATGCAACAATGTTTCCAAAACTGTATTATGAATATGACTGTAATACTGTTTACCATAAAAATTCTGTAACAATTCATCCATCAGTGTATAGGCTGGGCTACCGAGAAGCAGATGTATCAATTACACTAGGTTTCCATCATACTGCTGCCTCTTCGTTATTAATGCTTGAAATGCATTGTAAATAAATATGAATTCCTTTTTCACATTTTCTTTTCATTTTTGATGTCTAGTGTTAGTAACACATATAACATCTACAGTGTTTTGTATAATACTTTGTAGGTACTGACAGATGATGCATCTTGTAAACAGATGATGTAAACTTATGGTACCAATAAATACAGTACAGTGCTATAAATGTATTTTCTCTTATGATTTTTTTTTCTCTAACTTACTTTAAGAATATAATACATACAACAAAATATGTGTTAATCGACTGTTTATGTCGTCAGTAAGGTCAACAGTAGGCTATTAGTTGTTGTTTTGAGAGAGTCAAACGTTATCCACGAATTTTCAACTGTGGGGTGGGGGGGTTGGTGCCCCTAGCCCCACTGTTGTTCAAGGGTCAACTGTATAGAAAAATGCTAACATTTATTAAAATGAGGCGCTAAGTATCATTCATGTCCGTTATATTACTTTTAGTATTTCTAAAAGGCAACAGTGTATTGTATTGGTTGTGACCATGCACTTTGGCACCAGACTGCCAAAGTTCAAATCCCAGTTCTGTTATTTGCCAAATGTGTAACTATCTGTATCTCAGTTTCTCCATCTGTTAAAAGGAGGATCATAATACAACCTATCCCCTAGGATTAGTGAGTTAATATATTAAAAAGATAAATAGAACGAGCACTACAACAGTGCTAGCTATATGTTTCAGTTATTTTTTACTATTATTTTTCTGTATCTTTGAAATATTTCCTAATTTAAATTTTTGGAAAAAAATTTTAATTAATCAATTTATTTATTTACTTTTGGCTGCATTGGGTCTTCGTTGCTGCACGTGGGCTTTTCTCTAGTTGCGACGAGCGGGGGCTACTCTTCGTTGCGGTACGCAGACTTCTCATTGTGGTGGCTTCTCTTGTCGCGGGGCATGGGCTCTAGGCGCATGGGCTTCAGTAGTTGTGGCACATGGGCTCAGCAGTTGTGGCTCGCAGGCTCTAGAGTGCAGGCTCAGCAGTTGTGGCGCACGGGCTTAGTTGCTCCGCGGCATGTGGGATCTTCCCGGACCAGGGATCGAACCCATACCCCGTGCGCTGGCAGGCAGATTCTTAACCACTGCGCCACCAGGGAAGTCCCTGAAAATTTTTTTAAAAAACAGGACGCTCTGTGTCCCAAATCATATTACTCAGTCTTTCTGCCATGCCCACTCTAAACACCACAAACTAATTTGTGAAGTGATGGAGATAAACTGCACCGGCAGTGAAACTAAAAGTACCACGTGTCCTTCAACAACCATGGCTCAACTCCATCCCAAGTTCTGTGCCCTGAAATCATAAACAATGGCCTACAGCAGCAAAAGGTCAGGCTGCAGAAATGCATGGGGCCCTTTTCAGGCCCACAGCTCTAAAATTCAACTACATACTGATGATGCCACTACCACATGCCACTTGGCATCAGTTGCTAGAGTGTTCAGATTCTGAAGTCACCATGTTCTGAGACAGCACAGCCTTCACAGGAGGGAGGCTTTCTGTCACACAATCACATGAGTACCTTGCAGCAGTAACATTCGGCAAACAATGATCTTCATGACTGAGACAAACTAACATTAAACTATATTAATATTTGTAGGTACTAACAACTAACTATGAGGTCTTCCCTTCCTTTGCTAGCAAAACTGAAACAATTAAAACCACTGGCAAAAGCACAAATTACTCAGATCACTTTATGGTAATTTAATGTCTTTGAATCTTCCTGTGCTATTTTTTATATAGCATCAAATACACTTGAGGTTTTCTCACTTTGAATAACCACAATGTAAGGAACATGTGACAAGATTTTTTAAGAGACATTCAAATTTTAAATTTTAACAAAATCTTCATCAATACAGTTTCATATACAATTTCAACAAGACCCTATTAAACAGAACACTGTAAATATAACTAACAAGTGTTCCTCCTAAAATTCTCTCCTAGGAGGACAACCCAGTGCTAGATTGGCACACCCCATTAGAGATGATCTTACAATGGTGCAACTATACAAAGAACACAACCAAAAAGAAATCAACAAGTAAAACACAACTCTTAAACAGGTAAAGTGTTCAAGACACCATTTATGCAAACAAAGAAACATTCCAACCAGTTTACTAGCTAGAAATTATGTAGCAGGCATATAGGAGGACACTGAGAGAGGGAGAGGAGGGGAAACACGGCCCTTGTCTTCAAAATGTTCCCCCAAATGTTCACCTGTTAGACTCACAAACACAGAAAACAAACTTATGATGACCAAAGGGGAAAGGG